TTCATGGTCTAGTTCTAAATTTTTGTCTTCATCGTATTTTTTCAAAAAGTCATAAGTTTTAGCATTTAAATTTTTGAGAACTTTGTTCAACTTAGCGGGATAAGAAAGAGAATTAAGAGGAATTAAATCTTCTAACTCACGACAGTTAGCAAAAAGATTTTCTGCATCTTGGGTAAATTCTTGTCATTTTCTTTTTTTCTCTTCTGAAAACTTATTTTCAAAATAAGAAGTAGATGTTTCAATAAAAGGAGCAACTACTGCAATTATTCCTCCAGTCAGATTAAATTGAGTATTATCTTGAGCATTACCTATCAATAACTGCCGCCAGTTACGGAAGCAATCCGATTAGTTCATTGAATAGAAATATTTACCCTTTTATATCATTCATTACGAGTAGTTCATTCTTTTAAGTTTTTTATTTCCTCACCACCTCATTTGTAAAAAAATTTTTCCAGATTAGTTCGGATTAGATAAAATTTTTCAGTAGGAACATTAGCAATTAGTTGACTTTTTACATACTCTTTTCACTTTCGTAACAGAAGAGCAAAATCATCATCTTCATGTCTGTCTTTAATTGCTTCACCATATTTTTTGAGTTCTTCACCAACTAGTGCTGATTTGCTTTCCGGTCTCTCCTTGGAAAAAAGATAAAAAGTATGAATGCTTTCTGGTAAGTACTCTCAGCCACTATCTACATCTGTTCCTGCCAGATCTAATTCTTCTAGTTTAGTTAGATTTTTTAGAGGTTCTAAGGAACAAGTAATCCGATTGTAAACATTTTTATCAATTATTTCTTTGTATCAATTACCTAAGCCTAAGTGCTTTAGGTTGACAAAATCTTTAAAAGGAGTTAAATTAGTTTCAGCAATATTATTACTACTGATGTTAAGCATCTCTAACTTTTCAGTAGATAAGTTTTGTAAAAAGTTAAGATTAGTAAGATTATTTTTATTAAAGACTAGTTTAGTAAGTTTAGGGCAATTGTTTAGAGTTAGATTAGTCAATTGGTTTTGTTGTCCTAACACAACCTTTAATTGGAGACAATTAGAACATTCTAAACTAATTAAACCATTAACCGGAAAATAAAATCCCTCTAAATTAGGAAAGTTTTCAATTTTTACAACTCCTTTTAAGTTATGATTATTAATTACTAATTCTTTAATTGATGACAAGATCAACAACAATTTCAAACTCAAATCCAAATCCCTCCCAAAAAATAAATATCATGACTAACAACTGAAAAGACATCCATCCTGACTTTGGTAAAAGCAGACTATGAGGTGAATATTTTCAATGACAGTGAAAAAATAATGGTTTTGACTATGAT